TATCTCTTTTGGAATACTAAGATTTGTTGTCTCAATTTAAACGTCAGAGTTTATTATCTCTTTTAAAACTGCATTTTATTATCTCTTTTGGGTACGCTCAGTTTATTGTCTCATATGGGGGTAAGCCGTGTGAACAGATGCGCTTCATTTACACTTTTCTTTGAGATTAGAAAATGCTTTGAACATTTTATACCACAAACGAAAGATAACCGTATTTTCGTTCAGGCACATTTTCCAAGAACTCGTTTAGAAAAAAGCTTTGAAAAGTGGAAAATGTTTTTTATTCTGAAATATGTAAGGACGCGCCAAGCGATAAATCATCTCTATCACAATGTTGTTGTTCTATTGTTTTATTAGACAGATTAAAAAATGTCGACAATTTATTAATAGTAGTGTAGTGTTAGACTTATAACCTCCACCACCTGTTTTACGAAAAAAAGAAATCTGTAGAGCGTAAAAAGCTAGTGGAAAATTTAATCTTGAATAAATGATATTAGTTTATCAAGGTATTTGTCCTCTTGATCTAACCCTGTTTTTTACAGTTGTACTTTGTCTTTCTACATTCAGATGCTGAATAAATGGAGCGTGATTGTGCATTTGTAAATATATTTGCATTGATCTCAATCGCGTATATTTTCAAATAGTTCTGAAATAACTGTTTGTGCATCTCTATCACAATGTTTCTGTCAAGTTTATTGCATTATAAATACTCACTTTTTCCTTATCAAACATAACTACGAAATTTTTCTGAAATATTTCTCTTACAAGTAAACAATTGACAAAAAGAAGACTCTGACTGATGCTTGAAGATTCCCGACGCTCACCGTTAATAGTAGAGAGATATTAAAAAATCTCTGTGTAGACTAATTAAGGGAATTAGGCCAGACTCGTTATATTATCTGTTTTATTAGTTCTATAAGCACGTCTCGGTTGATTAAAATCAACATCAAACAACGGATTACAGTTCAACCATCAACATCTAATATTAGGTGACAGCAGTATATTTCCACTTACTGCAGGGGCGCCCAAAACAAATAAGGTCACACTAAATTTAAAGCTCCAAAACGATATTTAGCTGATGAGTTGTGTAACAAATGTAACTTATTTTTCGAAGATGGATGATGGAGATAAAAAAAACGCACCTACATGCATTAAAAAAAATGATGTCTAGTCACAATTCTTATATTCAAGATAGAAATCGCGTTCGTACACATTTTTCATCTTGAGTAAAAAGAAATGTCTGAACCCGTTTGTTTTCTCAACGCGTTTCAATGCGTCCGTTTCAGATGGAGCAACAATCTCACTCTATGATAAAAACTTTTGAAAAAAATTAGTATACTGAAGAACTTCTCCTTATCGCATTTAAACAGTTCGAAAATCAGTACAAGAAATAAATAAAAATCTTCTCTTCTTTCTAGTGTCAAAAGACCTACGAAATGAGACGTTGCACAGTTCTCTGTCACCGAGAATGAATGCATTAGATACGGTTGTAAAACAGAAGTCGTAATAGCAGTTGAAAAAAAAGGACATTTTTTTTATATATCACCAAAACAAAAAAAGTAAAGTTGATTTTAAGTTGCTGAAAAGTACTTTTTCGTATCCAACACATTCGATAACTTGATGATTTTCTATTTTTGGCAAGAACTACTTTCAAAAGTTTAGGAAAAATTTTGAAATACAATGAAGCAAAACAATTTTCCATGGGAAAATAATATTAGTTTCAAAATTTTTTCTAAACTTTTGGAAGTAGTCCTTACCAAAAATAGAAAATCTTCTGGATTATTGAGTGTGCTGAACACGAAAAAACACTCTTTAGAAACTCAAAAGCAACTTTATTTTTTTTCCGATGATATGAAAAAAAAAAAATATTTTAAACAATGCAGAAGTTTAAGAATTTTTAATATTTTTCTAAGTTTCTCAAATTTTGTATTATCTATGATCTATTGTACATCTACGAGAAAGAACTTTATATTATTTAAGTTTTAGTATGTCAGAATCAGATAATTTACTTTTTATTTTTAATTTTGTATTTTTTAGTTCAATTAGATAATGTCACTCAATTTATATTTGATTTAAATGTCATTAAACGTTCTGAAAGTGTGATAAATGCAGAATTACATTTATTCAAACGTCGTACAAAATATGACATTCGCTATGATATTAGTGAAATTTATTCAATTTCTCATCAATCATCTATTTCGGCAAAAATTCTACTCGACAATATTGTTAGTGGTTGGCAAAATTTTCCCATTACAGATGTTCTCCTACGTACAATAGAATATTCTAAAAATAATTCTTATTTTGGTTTGACAGTAAAACCGTTGATCATTAGAAAAGATGAACAATTAAAAAATATACCATTTTTACAAAAATTTAGTATCTATACACCATTTATAATTGTCTATTCCAATGATTCAAAATCAGAATCAATATTTGAAGAATTTATACCATCAAATTTGGAGAAATCAGCATCCATCTACAAAGATTTTGAAGAAGATGTACAAAATAGAAATAATCGAGAACAAAAACAACAGAAAAAGTATTATTACTATGAAACTCTCTCTCTCTTTCTCACATAAAGATTTTTGATCTTTCTTTTAGTATTGTACAAGAAACATCCGTATTTGACTTTTCTGATACCGATATTTTACAATTGTCTCGAAAAAAACGTTCTGGACGAAAATTATTTAATTCGTTAAGAAATCGTTATCAACATTATTCAACAAATACAACTCAAAAATCTACAACAACAATAGTAGATAATAATTTATTATTAGATTTTGATTTAAAAAATGATTCAAACACGTATGAATCATCATTCTTACATCAAGATCAAAAATGTTCTGTAAAACCATTTGTTTTTGACTTTTCTGATATTGGATGGTCTGATTGGATTTTTGAACCAAAACAATATTTGGCTAATATCTGTTCAGGATCATGTGAATTTCAACATATTAGAGTAAGTATTCTATATTGAATTTATTGAATTAAATATTTATTTTATTTTATTTTGATTTTAGTCAAGTAAATCAACAAATCATGCTCTATTACAAAGTATGATACGTCGATTGAACGTTCGTAGTGATACTGAATTACCAGCAATCTGTTGTGCTCCAGAAAAATATTTATCATTGCCAATATTTTATAAAAGTTCAGAGCAAAATTTTCTTATTCGATTATTACCAAATATGATTATTGATTCGTGTCATTGTAGATAAATTTTTATTTCTTTTTTTGTTTTTCTATACGTGTGGATGTGTGTTTATAATATGATCTCAGTTTTGTTTGGTGCAATTGTATTTACAAATTTATATCTATTTTTATGTGTATGTATGTCATAATGATGTATCTTAGAATTTGTTTTTTAAAATATACTTCATTGCAAAGAAACTAACTGTAATATTGTTGAATTATTATTATTTTATACATCTATACATTAAGTTCCGAATGACTTGTACTAGTAATCAACTATTAAGAAATATTTTAAGTAATCATTCAGTATATGTGCTATGGACAAGAAGTAACACAATCTATAAAATGTTTAAATTAAGACTGGAAGGAAATACTCGAAATCACATCGGGCTGTATAGACACGTTTAGATTAGATTTAATTTTACAATTATATTTGTGTCAAATTGAAGAAAATACTGAAGTTATTATTGTTTATTGATCAACTGACATGTAATTCTTGGGGTGGTAATATCAGTTGTATTTTAAATTGAAAAATATCATTTAAAATCGTATCAAAGTTAACGAAAATATGTTTTTGCATTTTTTCACAATTTCGACATTATCATTAAATAAAGAGGAGAAGATTCAGTTTTTCTCTGCGAATCAGATAAAAAACGACCATTTTAAAAGTGGATCAGGAGACAACGGCAGGTGTACTGTAAATAATGTTGGGCTCGGTATTTTTGCTCTAGCCTCTGTTGCTTAGGTTCCCTAGAGAAAGTTCCTTTTTCAATAGAACCGTCGTAAAGTTCTCTACAAAATCATACCTAAACTTTAATTTCAAAACTTCAATCAAGAAAACTCAGCAGATTATACGAAAGGTGAAAAAAATGAAAACTTTGTAAATTCAAAAACGATTTCTTGCTTTAACGTTTTGAAAGTGGGGAAAACTGAAATAGCCGTTTTGTGGCCCTTACTTCGCTCTATCTTTTAGCTCCACTTCAAATTTTTTTACATCAAAAACCATAACGAAATAATAGTTTTTCTGTCGGTTGTGATGCATTTTTTCATTAATTTTTTAAATTCTGCGTGTGGTGGCGCTTTCAGTAAAAGTTTCATAACTCCATCAGAAGAAAAGATTTTTCGATCGGGTTTGTTTTCTTTTGATCACAAATGACTGCTCTTCTCTATCTAACTGCAAAATTAAAACTTCGATCATGTTTTCCGTTTGTTGCTTGAGCATATTGTTGGAAACAAGAGATTGTCAATTTTTGATCTGTTTTTGATACTTCGTCCTCGAGCACACCATTTGCTCTAAAAAACATTTTTTACAGACCACCAGAAAGAGCACATTTGAAAGTACCAAACACAAACTAAGTTCTCACTTCTACAAAGTTTTCAGCTTTTTCGTCTTTCGTATAATTTGCTTAGTTTTCTTGATTGAAGTTCTGAAATTAAGGTTTAGGTATGATTTTGTAGAGAATTTTACGACGGTTCTATTAAAAAAAGAATTTTCCCTAGTGGACCTATATAACAGGAGAACCCCTTAAGACAGGATTCGTCAGCCCATCGAGAAAGTGCGTAACATGCAAAAAGTTGACATATGATTTTTATTTGATTTTCAGATTCTACAATCAAAACTGGGGTGAAGAAAAAAATTGTTCACTTCCAGACTTTATTATGACCGAGTTACAAAGTTTTCAAAATGAGGTGCATCGAAGAATCGCAAAAATGAGCACTGTTTCATATTTTCGATATAACTCCGTCATTTTTTATCCGTTCTGGTCGGGTAATGTCTCATTCGAAAGACTATCAAAAACTAAACAAAATCGGATGTCTTCTCTTTTCTTAAACTCAATACTAATGTTGTAAGAGGTTCATCAAGTGAAGAATTATGATTTTCATATACAAATTTTTTCTACCAAAACCCACTTTTGGGCATCCAAACAGAATTTCCCTAGAAATACGAAGATGATATCAGATAGGAAACTCAATTTTCTACAAATTGAGCTAAAAAACTTTGTTTTAAAACCCCCTTTTTGTCTCTAGAGACAAAAAGTTTTCGACACTTTTTTTCGATTTTTATTTTCCAAGTCCGACCAATTTTTAGTCGAAAACTTTTTGTCTCTAAATAACTTCAAGGGCACATTGTCTGGTGCAATTTTTGACGCTGATTTCAAATATTACCTTATTTTGTTTTAGAATGAAGTCTTGATGCCAAAAATCTCCAAAAACTGAAAGAACGATGTCAGTCGACCGTCTTGTTTTCAACTTTTCAAACTGTTCCAGGGGTTTTCGAACAGTTTTT